TTTCATTTTGCTTTCCAAGACTTCGGGGCTCGCGCCATTCGATACCTTCCTAGAATGTGCCCCCGGGGTATTAGAGTCGATATAGATTCACGTTTTCGTTTTTATTCTACGGCTCCTTGCTTATCCATTTTATGTGTTTTCAGGCATGATATTGGACTCCGCTTCATACCGGCTGGTCTAGCTACAACTTCGATGGACCGACAACGTCTAGTGGCATTACTACAACTTCCTGTGGCTAACCCTCTCCCGACCATTCATAGTTCTCTGGCATCAAGGAGCTCTCCAAGTATGAGGCAAAACCTCGTCCACGGCCGGCGAATCAGGTCCAGCATGTTCACTCAACTGTATCGACAAGTCCATAACCTAGTTAGTGAAATCACTTAAACATGGCTTCATCTAAGCAGGAACTTTCACAAATAGGTTTAATTGTGGAGGGAACAATATCGATACCACGCGGCATCGAAGGATACGATAAGCTTCCGTCTATGACACAGGACAGGGGTTACTGAGCTGAAGTTGACACGGCCGCGGATAGTGTTCGTCGATGACGCTCCGGATGAAACGGGAACCTGGACGGAGTTGGCGTTCAAACCGCCAATTGCATGAACCGACGTAGTTCCTGTCACTGGCAATTGAGAAGTACAGATACGAACGTAGAACGTAATTGCGAGTCAGTAATGGCTCTCATTAAGTTGAGAGTCTTTGGCGGAATGGTTGATGGAGTGGGCACATGCACGGGATGATCACTTGATCTAGGATCTGAGTGAGTTGGCATTCATTGACAATAGGTGTGGCATAGGATCCTCCCCCGAACTAGTTTCATGGCCTATCGTGAGAAAGCGTGGTGCCGATCCACAATGATCAGTGGTCAAAGACAGAGGGATTGGCAGTATATCTCTTGCGCGTTCCTCACGAACGAAACTCATGCGCATGAAGCGTAATTGGCCAAGATGCGTGTCAATGGGTCGTTTCTACCACAAAGACTTTGTAGTCGAATTGGGCAGATCTAATTGCGAAAGACAAAGGATATGGTTTCGTGGAACCAGCTTGAATAGTAGAAGCAAAGCACCATTGTACTGCTGGAGTTTCATCAGTAGACTGACTAGTGTATGTCGAAATCCATTGTCAACTAAACAACACAATGACGTTCGAATCGATGGGCCAAGCACAGTTGCTTTATTCTTACTTGAGTGGGTAAGTTCGATTATCAATGGTTGAGTTGTCAAAGGCAAGGTTCCACTAAGAACAACCATACTTTGAGGCGTATAGCGTAAACATACCGTAGAATTAGTATTGGAGAAAGGGTTTCTGTGAACATGTATACGGAGTCAAAGGACTCTCTTTCGTGCCTTCACTTTCGATTCGTGGGTACCATTAGATGTGACGTATCATTTCTCCGGCAAGAAAACAACTGCCATGATGCCTATATAAGTACAACCCCTACAACATTTTAGAAGGGGGAATCATACCAATACTTCTCATCTAGAACTCAACACAGCCCACACTGCATCGAGTATCATCTAGATTAGGGCCTTTAGGTAAATCGAAAAGCTGAGCTGTACATTAATCACTCAAGATGTCGGAACACCTTAGAGGAGATGCGCCAGGATGGTGGCCGAACCCAAGTCCTGGTATTTTGCCGCCGCGGTATAACGACCCTTTCCCTCCGATACTTGCGACTGAGCAGTTCCCTCCTCCAGGCCCTGGTTTCAATGGTCCACAACAGCATTACCAACAGCACAAGCATCTATCTCTCCAGCAATTCTCTGATCATATACAGGCTCATGGAGCGCATCATGTTGATCCATCATCTAACGATGGAAGATATATGCCTTCTGGCCCTAGCTATACCCCCCAAGGTCAGTTTCAGCCTTATTACGCTTCGCCTTACCAGCACAACTCTTGTCAACCCCCAGCACAGCTGCAATACGCACAACAACCGACACAGCCACACCACCACAGAGTTCCCCTGCATAATGACAGGCAGTACTTCGCAGGTCCGCCTTTGCCGGTCCCAAGTCCCCGATTGGAGCAGAGAGAGCTCTCTGCACACGCAGGGAAATTCAACGGACCGACGCAACCCCACGCAAGAGAGCTGGCGGATCTCGTGCCCGAAGCTGGCTTCAGCAGCCAATTCATGACCGGAGATAGCGCCCGGATTTGTCAAAATCCAGTTCGGCTCTATGGCCCCGCTGGTTATTACGCAACGTTCTCGTCGATAACGGATCGTTCATACCTACGTCCGCAATGCGAGGCGGGTTCAGCGTCCGGTTACTCTGCCCTAGCCAAAGCTTAGTTTCAGTAGTGGTCTACGTCCGCGGACCTTCTGGAAGCTCACCTTGAGTTGTTACGATATTATATGCAGTCTAATATTGAATTTGAATACCTCGTTCCGGATGCTGTAGAGGTTGACCTAAGGAGTTCCGAATAGGCAGATTGAGGACGCTGAGTATTGTACGACAGTTGGCGAGCAAAATGAGAGAACAAAAGGTTCATTCTTGATAACATATTAATAGAAGCTGACACATTGGTGAGATGAAAAAGGAGCATTATGTACCCAAGCACGGCGAACAGCATGCTGTGGGTTATAATACCTCTAATTAGTTATTTGTGAGTGTCTTGCTAACATACTACGGGAATAAGTAGTAAAAGAATTACACATGGAGATTCCATCTGACCGTAATCAGTAGTTTCTCCTCTTCCGAAATGCTTACTTGTCCATCAACTTCGAGAGCCCTTAGCACCACTTTATGACGGCCGCCGGTCTCTTACCATTGGTGATTGATGCTTCACGAACACCAACATCCCGTGAGATCACTTCATACGAGCGCCTCGCTTGCCGAATTTGCTTCTTTTGATGTACCCACTGTACGATTTGCCGTCCGCCTTCGCACCCTCGCCATTGAACACACTTCCAGGACCGAAGTTGGGCTCACCACCCAACGAGCCGAAAATATCGCCAACGTAATTAGTTGGGGCGATGCCAGCGGCGAAAATGGAGTTCCAACTATCCGTAATACCTTTCACGATCTCAATTCCCGCATTGTAGATATTTTCCACAGCGATATTGAAACCATTCTGGTCTACGATAAGCAGGTGGTCATAAGCGGATACGTTGGGAGGAGGGCGGTCGAAGTCGGAGCCTTCGTTGATATTAGTACATCATGTCCAGAATCCTTAGCATGGAGGCATACCGGTTCGCAGGAGGATAGCTCTCGAATAATCCGCCAAGCCAGCTAAATCAGCCCGCATTATCGCTTGCAGTACCGCGCTGTCTTCCTGCGCCGTCATACAATACGTAAGGTCCGTCTGGTTGGTCCAGACCCTCGTGGTGTTCTCGAACGCCTCGCTCAACAAGTTACCGGAATAAAAGACGTCGCTGGTGGCGGTATCACATTTAATGATGTTCGGTACCGTCGCGCCCGCCGTGTATACATCACCGCCGATCAAGTAATTAGCTCGGTACTCAGCGGCTGCAGATGAATCGCTAAGATTGGCCTTGGAGGCAAGCTCGAAAGCGGCATCCCGCAAGGCCTCGTTGAGTTCCATCACTTCTGTGCCGTATTGAGAGTTGGGGTACTCGCCCGGGCTGTGGTTATCGTAACCCACGTAGCCCGTGGTAAAGTTCTCGGGCATTTCGCGAGCATCGAGTTCGTACTGCTGCGCTACCTGTACCGAAAACTTGGATAGTGCTACGGAACCCGTAGTGCCTAGCTTAGGAGACACGCCAGCAATGCCACTCAGCAGGAAATACGTTGACGTAAAGTCAAACTTGGTCGAGAGCAGGAGCGAGGCGATAGAAGTCGCGGCGTTGATCTCCGACTCTCCTGCCGTTACTTGGCATATTTCTCCGGAGGCGACGCAGTGAACTTCTGGGTATATGGGGGATAGTCCTGGCACTGAGATATTCTGGGCTAGGAGATCGCCACGGCCACTACTGGGAAGGTTGTCGTACCATACATCAGCCTCTGAATGGAACTGTAAGTTTAAGTCAGATCCAAGTCCGATACCAGCCAGTGGTGTGTGATTGTACTGACCATGCTAATGATCATCACCTTTGGCGAAATCTTCGTACGACATGTGTGGGACTGCCGAGGACTGACAGCAGCCGAAGTCTGGCTAGCTGCGAGCAGCAGAGTAGCTATCAGCCATTGATTGCGCATTGTCATGGTCTGAGTAGAACGAAATCTATGTGTGCTGCCGTTTCCAGTGTACATGAGGTGCGATGCGCGGCCAGGGCGACCAATATCTGGCGAACTCAGGAATGGCACTGCAAGAGCTATCCCGAAGATCTGGGATCTAATCCGGAGCTGGGAAATCGTGAGAATAAATAGAAGTGGCACAAGATCTAGCATACGCCATATTGCCCTACTAATTCGTCTATCTATCTACATAGCGGATCCAGTGAATGGAGCCGTGTTGGCGAAATACTTGATTAATGACGGCTCGAGGCTAAGACCTGCATGTTCACCGTGGATGTCTCGGATGCAGCCGCTCTGAAGTGCGATCTCATTGGAGAACGGTAACGACCGTTGGCGAGATTCGCCATTACCTCATTGTGGTTCTAATCGATTTTGGTATCCACGAGAGATATGGGGAGATAAGTGCTTCAGAGCCTCAATCGTCGGTTGCAGGGATAGCTGTGGACAGGGGAGATGAACGGGCTCCGCTATGGGTTCGGATGACCGGTAGGTAGTTAAGCGGGTGGATTGACATGACGTACCACTCATGGTACTAGTAACCTATGGTCTTCATAGTTACGAAAGGCGAGCACAAGTATGTAGGTACTTCAGTTGGTAGGGCAGGTCGTAGTTTATCGTAGTGTAGGAACTTAAGTAGGTAGGCAGGTAGATGAGGCGGACGAGCGAAATGCGGCCACAGAGCTTTCGCCAACCCCCTGGTGGCTGGCGGATATGCACTTAGCGGATATCTAAGCTTCAACCATGCTTACCACGTCTCGGGGTAGGGAAGATTGCCGAGTTCATGAGCAACCCAGCAGAGGCAAGATGATCGAATGGTCAAGGTGACGCTTTCAAGCCAAGGCTTGCCCTGCAAATCAGAGTACAGCGTCGGGGTAACCAGCTGGAGTTCGAATCTCCCATCTTGTCAAGCTTTTGCTCGCGTTTGTCGCTTTCAAAATGGGGCTTTATCAAAAATTTTACTTTTAAATAGTTATAAGTACAAAGTAAAGTTAAGTAATTATGGTCGGCCTTATTTATGGTTTATTAAATTAATAAACTATAAATGTTTCAAGTTAAATCTACCTAGGTACTTATAGGTATTGAGCAGAGCGCGATACGGGTAAGCTGTAAACAAGTACGGTACTTTGAAGCCGCGAGTTATATAGAATTGCGTCTAGAGAGTTTTCTAAGCACAAGAGGAGGCCGCGATCATGCCTCTAAGGTACGCATCTTATTAGAATCCTTTGCAGTCCACGGAATTGCTGCGTTAATGCATCATGAAGATATTTTTCCAGATTGTCTTATGACGGGTATTGATGGCTCCCTTCTGGCTATGTTCTCGCGGTTTAAGAGGCTTCCAGTACTAACATTGAAGCCATTGCTCTAGTGGTTGCTCAAACAAGTTAACAATTTGTTCACTTAGCTACAAACAGAATTGACTATAGCCACTTGGCCTCGATGACGGGAGTTATACTCAAATGCCAGCTCTCATTGCATAGTTATTCTACTTCATTCTTAGACCATCGCAAAACCCGGAATACAAACAAGCAGAACCCACTTTGACTTGGGTGGAGATCCATAACGCCACGGCATATTCAAATATTGCTATAATTCAAACCACCGTCAACTCCTCTGAACATCCCCTAGTTCCCTACTCGTCGTTGTCATCATCGCCGTTGCCACCGTTAATAAATACCAGCCTTGAGCCATTACCGGCTGTTTGCCAGACCTATCGCGTTTTGTCAGTACACTTGCTGTCGAAGAGGAAGTCTCAGTCATGGTTGTACTCACATCAATGCTCGCGTACTCATCCAACGCGGTTAACCACTGATCCTCGGTGAATCCCTTCGCCAAGACACGTTCCCTGACCTTGCGCAGGCTCAACTCCACGGAGGCCTCATCATCGTCATCATCCACATCATCAGGCCTGCAGGCACCACTCTCCAAGAAACCTTTGACCAGTTCCATGATTCGGGTATTGACATCCCTGCCACGTCTGCGTGATCCCTCGTGTGCAGCCAGGCTCTCCTTACTGGCCTCGATCAGGCGCAAGGCCTCATCGACATCATCTTGACTAACAACATCCGCAAACTGCAGACGAGCCAAAGCCTGAGCTAGACGGACGACACCAAGCAGAGTACGGGGTGTGGTGTGAGCGAAATTCTGGCCCTTGGACTCGGCCGTCTTCTGTGCCTTTCGCAGGCGCACATATGTCTTAGTAAGGTATTCGGTGACGCTACTGGGTACGGTGGGGCGGTAAGTTCGTGCCTTGGCGACATAGGCCCGGACCTCATGGGGTGTGAAAACAACGTTGGGTACCTCACCAGCGGCGTTAGCGGCGGCGGAGGAGGGGTTGTTGGCGTAGAGATCCGGATGCTTGTTGTGCATGTGCACATAAGTAACGTGCTTGGCGAGCTGGGCATCGCTCTCTCGGGTCGGAGTATCGAGGAGCAGGAAGAGGACATCGAAACGAGAAAGCAAGGCGGCAGGGAGGTTGATGTTCTCGACGGGTGAGATGCGTGGGTTGTAACGACCATATATAGGGTTAGCGGCCGCGAGGATGGATGTGCGAGCGTTGAGGGTCGTGGAGATGCCGGCCTTGGAGATTGAGATTGTCTGCTGTTCCATGACCTCGTGAATGGCCGTTCGATCGTTCTCGTCCATCTTGTCGAACTCGTCGATACAGCAGATACCGTTGTCGGCCAGGACCAGAGCACCACCCTCGAGGACCATCTCATCGGTCACGGGATCGCGCATTACGGCTGCTGTGAGACCTACACCACTGGATCCACGACCGGAAGTGTATACGCCTCGGGGTGCGACTTTGGAAATGTACTTGAGCAGTTGGGATTTGGCCACACCAGGATCACCCATCATGCAGATGTTGATATCACCACGAATGCGCATCCCGTCACCCACTTCCTTGGTCACACCACCGACAAGCAGGAGAAGTAGAGCCTTCTTGACGTCCAGGTGGCCAAAGATCTCAGGAGCAATAGACTTGGCAAGCATCTCGTACACAGCGCCGGAGTGGCTGAATGCCTCAATACGCCGGAGTAGACTGTCGTCAATAACCATCTCGTTGTAAGCCTTGACGTGTTGCACAATGTGATGTGCCTCCACATAGGTGTCAGTCAGGAGACCGGCTCGCATTGCCTTGAAGCCAGTATAGGGGGTGGGCAGGAAGATACCAGAGATGTCAACCACATCGCCCGGGCTAACTTTTCTGACGGCACTGCCATAGCACAAGATGGTGAGTGTCCGAGGAATCTGCCCAATGGGCACCTGTTCAGCCATTTCCTGTATCTTGACTTCCTGGAAGGGTAGAAATTTGGATGCACGAGATGATTGGAAAAGTTGGCCCTTGGACTGGTTATCCTTACACTCTTGTGAGAGACACATGGTGAGAGGGGCATAAGACTTGTCGTTGACAGGTTGGAAGATCTCGCAGCCACAACGATCACAAGTATAAGCCCCAACCTGGACAATGGGTTTGACATCTGACACACGGGTTGCGATACCTCGCACTGTGATCAGGTGGCCAAGATGATCGCCACGCACTTGCCGTACTGATAAGGCCTTGACCGGCTTGTCTGCGGTGGACGACCTCGGCTTGAAGACCAAAGTGTAGCGTCGGGTGAGTTGGGCGGGGAACGTCGTCTCCAGGAGCTCTGGGTTGTTGGTACTCTCGGCAGCTTGAGCTAGGTCGCGGTTCCGCATTTGCCTTCGCTCCATGATGACATCTAATACATCATCCTTGAAGGTAACACCACTCGTGGGAGCCGGCAATTTCTTGTCGACTGCTCTCGACAGGATCTCGACGTAGTGTTTTGTGTTTGCTTCAATGGACTCGACCAACTTGAGCCCATCATCGTTATTCGACTCAAACTGGAGCACAACGTTCAGCCCACCCATCCTTCTAACCAGAACAAGGTGTCCCTGCAACATAGAAGATCACGTACCGATGCAATATCATCCAACTCTACCAACACCTCATCAAGTGCGCGATCTGCGAGCTTCTGCATCATGTCGGCATATTTGTGCTTAGGGGATTTCTGCGCCGCCTTTTCCCTTCTCCGCTGCTCTTGCGCCTCGTCATCCTCATCCATGAAGTCGTACTCGTCACTCAAATCATCTTCGTCGATACTAATCTGGCCGATCGCATGAGTGATGGTGTCCTGCGGGGAGGTCTGGAACTTCTCGAGAAAGTTCTCGAAGGCAGCTTGTTGCGCCTCGTAGTCAACGATGTTTCGGTATTGAAGAAGCGCCATTATGTGCGATTGCTCCTCTTCTGGGTATCGTAACGTTGGCGAACTATCCTAGAATAGAATGAAATCTTGGAGGATGCGCCCGAGAGATACTGACTTCAGGAATCGCGTCGCTGAAGGAAGAAACCCGCAATTGAATTAGGTGGTTGGACTTGACGACAGGACAGGACAGGACGCGCCAGGGGTCACAGTCGCGACTTCCAGCTCTCGACGCGTCCTTGTAGCGCCGCTAATTTTTATTTTCGTGTCGCACTTGACCCGAGTTTAATGAGATGCATAAAGCTGCATAATGCGGTAACCAAGTCTTCCCAGAGGGGCTTAGTCGAGCTTCCAATTGGCTCCAGATCGCTGCCTCGGCTATGACACATGCTACATGCTGGAGAGGCCTGCCCCGGGCCAAACGTTCCAGTGAGCTTCCAGAGCAGAGCAGAGCAGAGCAGAGCAGAGCAGAGCTTTAGGTACACGACAGCTTCAACTCACCATACACATGGCGGCCGCCCGAGGAGATGCTTTCAATGCTTTTCGAGTTTCTGTCCTTCCATAGCCAATCATGGCACCAACTCAGCGAAAGAACACGCAGTCCACTGCTGCCGAGATCTCGCTTGTGCACTTGAAAAACTGTCTAGTTAACCTACCCTCTTCTCTGGTGTCATTGCTCGTTAATGTCAACACTCCGGCGCAAAATGTTGTGGTTGAGCTTAACTACCGCGCACCTAGCTCCCACACCTCTGCGCAGAGTAACAGCGCATCGTTGCAGCGATCGATATACGTGGGATGGACCGGCATGCCTAGCAAGCGCAAGATTGCGCCGATAGTCAGCCGCGATGGTATCAACGGATCACGAGGGGGCGGACGAGACCAGGAGGTTGTCTTGGTCGAGATCGATGCAACCCTGGCTGCAGTCATAGGTCTATCAGACGGGCAGAAGGTCATGGCCATTATACACGTCGATCCGCCCCTGGCGCATACTGTGAATATCGAGCCTCTTACACCCGAGGACTGGGAGATTATAGAGCTACATGCGACCTTCCTGGAACTCAATCTGCTCTCTCAAATTCGAGCGTTACCAAATCCGACTTACGCGCCCGTTCAGGGGCAGACCGCATTACCGCACCCTCTGACATTACACTTGTCACCGACCTCCACTGCCAACATCAGGGTTTTGTCACTGGACCCTGCGCCTACTTCGGACGTTCCCTTTGTCAAGATCGCGCCAGATGCTGAAGTAATTGTGGCGCCAAAGACTCGATCGAAGCCCTCAAAGACCAGTCGCGAAAATCGTAGTGTGGGAGGCACCTCGCGGAGAAGCGGAAAGAGTACAGCAAGTACAATACGAAGACGAAGTGGTCGGGATGAGAAGAAGCCTGCTTTGTTCCTCAGGGGTGCCGAAAGGAAACTCTGTGACGAATGGTTCGAGGATGACTCCACGTCGCAGGACTTGAGCATCTGGGTTGATCAAGACTTGGTGCTATCAAAGGACTTGAGAGGCGTCAACTATGTTGCAGTCAACGTTGTAAAGCCAGCCGGGCTTCTACCTCCCCTTGACCCGCAGCAACAGGAACAGGAGACCGTTGCGAATGCAACAGGCGTCAAGGCAAGCGAGAGGATCATCGCGCATCTTCGACCCTGGGACGATCCCCCAGACAGCCGAGTGGGCGCT